AACTTTGTAATATCGAACAGGTAATGTAAACCGACTTTTATTCGGGCGCGAGAACTTTTTGCAAGGTTCGTGAGAGCCTCGTCATTGCGAATATTTCTCACTGCGAACCGCTCCATAACGTTTGTCTTTTAACAGCATATCCAAAAAGGCCGTTGACGGCCAGTTCTTGGTCTGTCATCCGTGTTCTTAGCTGGTGGAGACGTACGTTTAACCGCTGCAAAGCCGATTGATGTACACTACCTCCTGTTTCGTAGCTCCGGTTATCATCATAGCGTTGTGTTCATCTTTGTTACATGTAAGGCGTGGCGTTGCAGCATCAACGTCGCAATCAAATCTTAAATATGGGTTTAATAAGAGTGTTTATTGTTTCTCTAAATCCAAAATATCAATGAAAATAGACCCCCAATGTAGAAGAAATAATGAAAAACATTATCATATTTTCATAAACAGGATTCATCAAGGGGAATAATTCAACACTTGGGTTTATAACAAAAAAAATGGGTAAGGATAATCCTGTCCACGCCAGCACCTGTTGGCCTGGAGGGCTATTAACAACAATTATAAGGAATTTTTGTCGTAGAATACAGTAGTAAGTGATATAATATGTTAGGAACACACGGTAATTTATATTTTGAGATGGATGTTTACAAACATGGAACCGCACAACTTTTTGTGCTTAATAAATATACTGATTTTACAATGGGTGGCGCTGTAGCTCTCCGGTTTGTCAATATGTTTTTCGAAGAGCTACAGTCCTGCAGCTAGGTCTTCTTTTTTCATAGCTATTTCACCCATTAAAGAAAAACAGAGTTTATTTTAAAAGCATAACAAGATGTGTTTGTGAAACACTATGCGCCCGATGGCAACAAAAATCGAAAAAACTATTTCTAGCATAAGTAACAGTCAAGGTCACAAGGTCATTGACCTTGGTGTCATTTGAAAGACCCTGATTAGTGGAGAATGCACACCAAATATGAAGTCTCTATCTTTTATGGTTCAAAAGTTATGGTGAAAGGTACGAAAAAGGTATTTTAGCATATAGGTCACAGTCAAGGTCACCAGGTCATTGACCTTGGTGTCATTTGAAAGAACTTTATTAGTGTAGTATGCATACTAAATATTAAGTCTCTATCTTTCATGGTTCAAAAGTTATGGCGAAGGTTAAAGTTTGCAGACAGAAAAGCTATTTAAGCATATAGGTCACAAGGTCATTAATATTGGTGTCATTTAAAAGCACCCAATTAGTGAAGTATGCATACCAAATATGAAGTTTCTACCTTTCATGGTTCAAAAGATATGGCGAAGGTTAAAGTTTGGGGACAAACAAACAAACAAACAAACAGACAGACAGACAGACAGACAGGACAAAAACAATATACGCCTCGGATCTATCGATTCGGGCGCATAAAAACAAAAAAGAGGCTTGGTGGACTAAAAAAGGAGTCCTGCATTTCAAATATTTCACTTATATAGGAGGTAAATATTTTTGTCCGTTTTTATTACGGTATCAAAAAGAAAAACTGATTGGGTGGACATGATAACGCAACAAAAGAAAGGGTCCGTCCTCTGTTTTTCAGATTCAAGTATATGTATTCTACAAATATTTTTCATAGTAAAAAAATGGGAAAGAGTTTATTTTCCTAGCATTAAACTAGAAAAAGTGACAGGGCGGACCTTAAAACACAGTGTAAGAAAAAAATTCCGCCCTCTGTATTTTATCATTTGGCTAAAGAAAGGAAAGAAATAAAACTAATTGTAAGTTTTTATTATCGTAGAATAAAATGAACTAGAGCGAGTATAATATGGTTGATCTTAAAACGCAGTATAATAAAACAAAAAGTCCACCCATATTTGAGGTATCTTTCTTTCATTTGGTTATATATCGAGCTTACTATAAATTTTGGCATCATCGTCTTCATTTCATAATCAAGATAAGATCATTCCGAAGCCAATGTTTTAAGGATTCAATGTCTAGTTAGTAGAGTATACCAGGGTATCAACGATAGTTGGAAACAAGAGATAATTTAAATAACGTGTTATTCTTTATATTTCCATTTCATTGTGGAAAAAAAGCGTTATCTAATAGATTTAAACAACATTAGGCCTCCCATGCATGTCAAATTTTGAAATTCCCGATCATGACAAGGGGCACACGGTAGGTGTAACCAGCTGCTCACTTTTCCATGACATATGACCCGACTTCTGATGTTTTGGAGGTCCGTGTTTGCTCTGCTTGTTCGTTATCTCCATATATTTCGTCAATCGTTTCTCCATATCTAAACATTCTTTTATCTTTATTCTTAATTTTCGTTTTCTACATTCTGTTTTTATTATGATTCCTAAATAATGAAAAAAATCATTTTAACAATAAATTTAGAATGAATACATGCGTAAATGTGTATACTAAACCGACGGCGGACCATATTTTATGGAGTCAGGCTGTATTAGAACCCCCCTCCCCAGCATTAATAAAAGGGTAGTAAACCCCGAACCTTTCAATATTGTACGACATGGTCAATGCATTACGAAGTGTCTGTTGATCTAAAACATTTTTTTGAAGAATATACGTTCGAATATGCATACTTTGCCGGCATTGACGGGTCCATAAGTGGAGAGGGGCTTCCGAGGGTCGGACATCCCTTTTATTATTGCATAGAGAGCGGGAGAGTGAAAGAGACAGAGAGAAAAATGTTTTTATGTAACATATTAGATACTGTTATGTCTAATATTTTAAATAAAATAAGTATATATTATTAAATATCTGCCCTTTCTGCTTACAAGATACAGAAGTGTTTTCCCGTATTGATTTCCCCCGTGTACCTTCACTATCCCGACCTCAGTCCCTGACTTCTCACAGGTTTCCCTTTCAAATCAGTGGAATTTTCGCCGAGTTTATCTATATGCCATTTAAATCATCTCTATAAAAAATCATGAAAGGGGGTATGCAGAAGAGAATATTTCTCTCCTTATATATCATGCGGATGTTTTAATCAATAAAGAGAATTGTTTAAATGGTATGAGGAGAGAAGGGTGCTCTCTTTTTAATCTGAGAATAATCTTATATGCTGTAGTTTTAATGCGTAGGTTCTGATTTGGACTGATGATCTGATTGCTCTCCACACCCATTGTTGCCAGAAGGTCAAAATATCCAATTAAAGGCATTCAAATGAAAATGTTTCTAAAGGTTGGACCCCCATTACACCCCTTAAAATAAAAATTAAAGTTTATGCGTTATTTGTGTTTATTCTTTGCTTGTCAAATATTTTTGGACGTTCCTCCCTTTGAAAACCACTGCTATGGGCTTATGGGTACCTTTTGTGCGATTCTATGTATGAGTATCGGGGCGCCAAACCTGGACCCCCCCCCCCCTTTTTTTTCAAGAATTGCTGGATCCGGCGTTCATGGAATAACTTATGGTTAATATTATGCAGATAACATTGTTATTATTCAGAATGTGCTTATGAATATATATTGTAAATTACTAAAGCTAGTTCATAGGAAATGTATAAAAGTATCCTTTTCAATAAAAGGGTCCTATGAAAAACGAAATTAAAATACAACATTGAAAGATTTTAGCTGTTCGTTGTATTGTCTCAAAAATAAACTGATAATGATAATTACTAAGGGAAAAGTAATTCATAGGCGTCGGAACCGGGGGTTGAGGGGCTTAGCCCCTCACCTCCCACCACTATTTTTTGCAAAGATAGCCGTTATATAGGCATTGAAAATTGGGATTTTCCTTCATTTGTTGGTTTAGCTCCCCCCCCCCCCTTTCACTTAGCCACCCCACTTTCAATTTGCTTCCGACGCCTATGTAATCCCTATTATTCTTGCAAACTAACTGATCACGAGATTACTTTCATGGGGAACGTCCATCTCATCGTTTTTCTTAGGCCTAACTTTTCTATCATTTTTTTCCTTTTAAATTCCATTCAGCATTTAAATTCCCATCACTCAAAATGTTGATCTCTAAATGCAAAAAATCAAATTTTCATGAGTATAGGTCATACAGAACCCTTCAATTATAACAGCCCCATGAGGATCCGGGTTAGAATAGGTCCTCAGTACCCATTGCTTGTCGTAAAAGGCGACTAAATGGGGCGGTCCTTCGGATGAGACCGTATAAACCGAGGCCCCGTGTCACAGCAGGTGTGGCACGATAAAGGTCCCTCCCTGCTCAATGGCCGTAAGTGCTGAGCATAGGCCTAAATTTGAAGCCCTTCAACGGCAATGGTGACGTCTACATATCAGTGAAATATTCTGGAGAGGGACTTTAAACAGTATACAATCAATCAATCAATTCTCACATCCCTTTCCTCAATTTATTTACACTTTAAAAGACCAAACAACTAGGTTTGTTTGCAAGAAACAATTTAATTGCATCAACTATGTTAGAAAAAAATTACGCTTACATGAAATAAGATAACAGCCAAGTGTTACTTAGATAATTCATGTTGTTACATTGTTGTATATCCTGTTGTATACAAAATATAGAAATTAATTCACACAAAAGAAAGTTTCTTTTTTTCCCTTTAAAACTTTTACAAGGACATCACTCAGTATTTGTGTCATGTATAGAAGTATTTTATCACTACGTATTTCATTTTGTGTCCTATATATAGCTGTATTTTCTAAGTTCATTAAACCACATAGTACATTGTCCATAAGTTAAGAAGTTAAAAAATATACACTATGAATAAAGTTGACAGACTGACAAAAAATTTAATACTATCTAGTTAAAAACCATCTTAGTTAAAAATGCAATAAAAAGTCTTTTTGTTTGACTACCAATATTGCCCAAGTTTAATTGTTAAGATTTTATGTCTATGCAGTTACTCCGCGAGATGACTAATTAGCCAATGAAAAAGCGCGATTAGGTTCTAAGTAAGTTAGATCATATTAAGTAAAATTTTAGTGGTTAAGAAGGGGCTCGGTCACTTCGCTCCCTCCGCCCCTTCTTAACCACTAAAATTTTACTTAATATGATCTAACTATTACTTAGTTTCTCAGGTTGTGACTGTTTCAAACCCACTGAATAATATCAGTACATTGTATTTTTGAAATGTTTTCCTTTAAGTAGCAGTCTTATTTTACAGCATATAATGTATTTGATTTGATTCCAAGGAAACCCCTTCAATGATGCTTTCTGTATTGCAGTAAGTGTATCTGTCTAGGAGTTCTTCCAGAAAATATAATACTCTTGAAGTGTTTCTTCTGGTACTCTTTTTCCTCAATCAACCACTGGTGTCCTAAAGATACTCCTGAATAAAATGAATAAGAAATACATGTATGAGATGCCAGTCTTTAGAAATACATGTTTAAGAACAAGTAACTATTAAATAATGAAGATCACTCAATATCAAAATGTTGTTAAATAATGAAATTTGGTCATGGTAAACTGAACATTACTATGGAACATTAGAATCTCAACTTGGAAAAAATTGGGGATCTCTAGGAGTTCAAGATATAATATTTCGTCAAACCCACTCTCCAATCATTTGAATGAGTCGCAAAGCATGACATTCTACTACATGTTTACAATTCAATAGCGACAAGTCAATGTGGTTTTCATTGGTTAACTGCGCAATATATATTTTGTCACCAGAAAAATAGTATGCAGTTTTCCTTTATATATTATACATCATTTTCAATATCAAACAATATAAAAATTGACTGCAAATGAATTTCCAAGGGTCAATTAAAGTTGGTATTTGTTTACAACAAAACTGTTTCATAATGATTGACACTTAAACAGTAAAACTCCGTTAAAACAAAGTCACTGGGACCCATGAAATTACTTTGCTATTATAAAATATTACTTCGTAATTCGTTATATCAAAATTAAGAACTCGATAAATTTATATAGCTGGGAATCCAAAATAAGTTTGCTATATCTGTGAATTCGCAATATTCGTGTTCGTACTAAATGAATTTTGCTGTAGTAACCCATGATACATTGTGACTCATTCTCTGTTTGTACAATCTAATTAAAATTAGATGTTAGATCTGCTCGCATGTTCACTACACTAACATCTAACAACATCCCATAGAGGGTCACAACATCCCATAGAGGGTCATGTCAGAGGTCAAATAAGGAATGACTCTGGACTTATTCGCTTCAACAATATACAATGATTTTGCAGGCGAGTATTTGATTGGTTGATAGAATTTGACCTTAATCAGGTCCAGCAAAATACCCCGATAAAGGTATATAGCTTGATAAAGCTATATAGCTTTATCAAGGTATTTAAAATACCTTGATCAAGGTATTTTATGTTATGAAAATTCAAAAAAATTCTTTAAAAATTAATTACTGAAAGTCGAGTTCTGAGTTGTTATCAGTAAATTCACCCATGCATGTAAAGTACTCAAACACAAACAAATCAGTATAAAAACGTGTCGTAAGTGGAGACGTTATTTTATGCTTTCTTTTTGATACCAGAGTGTTTTTCATGCACGAATAGACACACTGTCAAAAACTCAGAACTCGACTTTCAGTAATTAATTTTTAAAGAATTTTTTTGAATTTTCATTACATAAAATACCTTGATCAAGGTATTTTAAATACCTTGATGAAGCTATATAGCTTTATCAAGCTATATACCTTTATCGGGGTATTGTGCTGGACCTGTTAATGTGACCCTCAATGGGATGTTGTTACATTTTAGTGTAAGGAGTATGCGAGTGGATCTAACATCTTATTTTAATTAGATTGCTGTTGGTAAAGTTACATATAACTTATTTACATTCAAATATATGCTGACATCAGAAAATCTAATGGCCTCAACCTATTTAAGATTAACTAATTAATATCAAGCACTAGGGACCTTCAGTAAACTTTAATATGTGAAACATTCAAGAATATTTAAGATATCATAAGTTTATAAACTAGAAAACTGACCAGTCAGCAAGGGCCCCGCCATGGGGTGGAATTATAAGGATGCAGCTTATGGAATGATTAAAAAATATATGAAGAAATAAGCAACAGCAAATGTATTCTTAAAATTTTCAACATAATTCCTGAATATCCAAAAACCTGTAAATAATATCCTTGTATATTTACATTAGGCACTGGCAGTAGTGATGGAACGATTGTCGCCGACAATCGATTGTCGGTCGTTAGGAGCTCTTCGATGCTACTAATCGATTATAAAATAAATGTCGCCGACATCGCTAACAAAAAATAAAACTGTCATACTTTAATTTTATTACCAAATCCAAGTGCAAAGAGCATAAAAGCAGTGATGAACGTTGAAAACATGGAAGGATTCCGTGTCTTGTTGATACTTTTACCGCCATGATTAAATATGGGGCTAGACTAATACCAGGAAATGCTAATATTGCAAGGTTTTACTATACAAAGGAAAACATAATTAGTCTAGTCAATCTTTAAACGTAATTATTATCATAAATACAAGTCTAACTTCTGGATAATTACTTTTAAGACTTGCAATTTTATTATTTTACCTAATTAAAACTAATTTTAAGAAAAATACACATGTATTAAATGAAAGGTGGGACTAATATCAGTAAAATACCCATTGCATGGACTTTATAAAAAGAAAAAAATAAATTCCCATTCTGTTTCAATAGTCTTATATAGTCCTATATTGTTTAAAGTAAACAAAATATTATTTTCCACTTTTTATAAAAGAAAATTCAATTAACATTTTTGAATATTTTATGTAAGTAAATGGTTTTTTTTTTAAAGTCTGACAGAAATCTGAATAAGTTTCGACTTTTCTATATTAATTTTATTAAAGTTCAAAATTTCGATTATAATCGATTATAAATCGATTATACCCAGCCGATTATTACCGATAATCGATTCTGATTTTTTCCCGATTCCCCATCACTAACTGGCAGTAAAGAACAACCTAACATTGAATGTATATATAAACAATAATGAAGTTTGTGTTTGTGTTATATAAAATGCCAGTCTTCAATGAATGCAAATACATGTATCATGAAGGCTTGACCTTAACTTCAAAACAAACAGCAGTTGCAGACAAAGTTTTTCATTAATCTTAAAATGACAGATAAAGATAGGCCTACTAAATTTTCTTCAGCAGGCTAGATAATTAATCCTGAGGGTTAATTGTACCTCTCTCATCATTTTCTTCTAAAGTTACAATAAGAACTTTTTCAGTATTAATATTAGAATGGCTTAATCCAACTACCTTAAAAATTATTATTATTCTTGAATTTACATAAGGGAAAAAAGTAAAAATAAAAGATATGTCTTCTTTAATCTATTTCTTGTTTTTAGAATTCAATGAAATCATAACTCATTGTGTAAGTATTTTAACCAAAATAAAGTATAAACATTTATATCTAAATCCACATTTCAGAGTGTTCATAGCATTCCAAATTGACTGAACTTCAAAACAAACTTCATTTGCAGACAGAGGTGGTAATTAATCTCAATGTGACAGATAAAGATAATGCTTTGGATTTTCTTCAGGAGGAAAGCTAATTAATCCCAAGGGACTCATAGCAGCATTCAGTTTACAATGGAAACATCTTCAGCAGTTATCTCTCTTTGCTAAAGCATTCTTATATAAAATTAAGGAATATACCCCACCACCCCAGCTCCAAGCCAAGGGTCATAGAGAAACAAACTTAGAATCAAAATATGTCTTTCTGCCTATTGAACTACCATACCAAATTTGATCTTAATTGGACAACCATAAAAAAAGTTATTAAGAAAAAACAGGAAATTTGTGGACGGAAGAAAGACAGACGGACAGACGGACAGACAGAGTGATTACTATAGGGCACCCGCAAATCCTTGCGGGGCCCTAATTAAACTTAAAAAATTTGCCAGTACTTGATTGGAACAAATGCCAAAAGAGAATATGATCTACAACTGGTGAAAAAATTACCTCATGGTGTGAATTTGATCTTGCCCTTTTTACTTTCTGTTTCATGAGGCAGAGGACTACAACCTGATAAGATACATGTAACAATATAAACTTCTGAAGACAAAACATTACTGTCCATAAAATGGATATACATGTAAATTCCAATAATTTTACAAAGCTGTGGAAGACTGATTATTTTTGTCTCTGATAACATCTAATACCATATAATTCAATCTCCAAATATTAAAACAGCTGCTAAAGAAAAACCAAAATTTCAATATTGGAAAAAAATATAAAAGAAATAGCTTTTTCAGGGGAAAAAATGAAAATAAATACCTTTGTCAGGAAGATCAATCTCATCAAAGTCCATTCCCCATTACTTCTGAATGGTGCCACTGTCTACATACTATGGAGAAGCTTTGAAACTTTTGCATGGCCTCGATTGTTCGGAAGTTGGTGAAATTCTCTATGAACCCTTACGTTGTGGCCCTGAAAAGTAGAGAAATCATGAAAATAAATTCTCAAATGAAAAAAAAAATCCAAATTTCAAAATTATGCTTCAAAGATAAATAATACAAACAAACTGTTTTCAGAAACCAGCTATATTTCTCATAGATTTACAATTCAATTGGTAACACAATTGGTTTCACATATTTTTACTAGATTTCTCAGTGAAGTTAATCATTTAATGCCAGTAAGATTTAACTTCCCATCGATTTTACATATATTAAAAGAGAAAAACTGCTTTTTTGATTACAAAAACTTGGTTTAACAACAAGCTCCTTGTCATTTTATAATACAAGCGTTTTTGGCATTACCCAACATCACTTAAACACTTGAAATCTTTCCCTTTTTAGTGCTTCAAAAAATTGAAAAAAAAGACAGGTCATAACGAAAACTAATTGCTAAATTCCAAATGAACTAATTTCCGATTTCTGTATTTTCATAAAAGCAAAATAATAGACATATTTTCAACTAAAAATGCGTACAAAATACGGCGAAATCATAAGTGAAGGTAAACAGGTTTCTAATTTACTCTGAAAAGAAAACTCACTACATGTGTTTAAATAATTTAATCTGGAAAGGAAACTCCCTATATGTGTTTAAATAATCTACTCTGGAATGGAAACTCACTACATGTGTGTAAATAATTTACTCTGGAATGGAAACTCACTACATGTGTGTAAATAATTAGTATTTACTCTGGTAGGAAAACTCACTACATGTGTTTAAAAAATTTAGTCTGGAAGGGAAACTCACTACATGTGTTTACATAATCTAGTCTGGAATGGAAACTCACTACATGTGTGTAAATAATTTACTCTGGTAAGGAAACTCACTACATGTGTGTGATAAATGTACAATGACCATAAAACTCACTACATGTGTGTAAATTATTTACTCTGAAAAGGAAACTCACTACATGTGTTTAAATAATTTACTCTTGGAAGGAAACTCACTACATGTGTTTAAATAATTTACTCTGGAAAGGAAACTCACTACATGTGTGTAAATAATTTACTCTGGAAAGGAAACTCACTACATATATGTGACATGGGTGATAACATATCCATAAATTTCACTCTGATACTTTTTCTTCTTAGTATATTTCCATACTTTCTGATGCTGTATTGTGCTAGCTGTGTATTACCATGCAGTTCTTACTTTCATACTAATTCCATTTGTTGATTATATTAATTATTTATAAATTTGCAAATTTAATTTCTATTACAAAGTGTTTTCCCTAAGAACCAGCTACCGGCCAAATTGACCGCTTCAATGTACAAAAATGTCGCTTTGAAATAAAAAAATTGTTGTTAGATCCTCAGAGATTTTGTTCATAAACCTAAGCCCCTAGCCTGTTACAGCTTATCTCTAACCCTTTACTTTAAAATAAAGGGAAAACACTGTAATACAAATATAAACTTGAATATTTTTTTCTGCAGGAAAGAATTCATGTGAGTAATGTGAGAAAAACAAAATGCTAGACTATTAGACTATACATGTATATTAAATTAAAGTATTCAAAATTAAGCACAATCAATGAGTATGTGGAGTTGTTGATGTAGTCAGGAATTAGTACTTCACATGAATGTTAAATATATTGTATGTATCATCCTATATTAGCAGTATTCATAAATTAATACATAGTTGTTCACGCCAGTTAAACTGAAAATCATCCTAATACAACATACCCGGTAATATACTGACAAAATAGCAATGTGCAAGCCCAGGGACCACAAAATGTTGATTCTTTATAAACATGAGTATAAAGTTTAAAGAGACACACAGTTATTTTCAATTTGCACGTTTCCAGATTATCTCCCTAGATGCGTTTTTTATTGATGATGGGGAGTTTCACTGCCGCGTAAACAGACAGGTGGGACAGATATTTATAAATTCATAATATTGGATACATTGCATAATGAATATACTAGTCTATCATAAATACACCATTGTCAGGATGCATAACTGAATTAATGTAAGGCTTCATTTTTTAAAACAACAAGAGGCCCAGGGGCCACAGTGCTCACCTGAGCACATCAGCTAGGAAAAAGCACATCTCATGATTTGGATGAACTAGATTCTACACTACCTGAGGATAATTCTACATAAATATTACTAATCAGCACTTTGAAGTACTTGAAAAGAAGATTTTAAAAGGTTTCCCTATATATTCCTATGAGAATATTTGGTCGGACATTTTGGCCCCACCCTACCCCCGGGGGTAATAATTTGAACAAACTTGAATCTACTTTATCTGAGGATGATTTCACAAAAAGTTTCATCTTTCCTGTCTCAATGGTTCTTGAGAAGAAGATATTTACATGTAGTGAGTTTCCTTACCAGAGTAAATCATTTAAACACATGTAGTGAGTTTTCTTTTCAGAGTAATTTATTTAAACACATGTAGTGAGTTTTCTTTCCAGAGTAAATTATTTTCACATATGTAATGTAACTGGAAAGAAAAAAAGGAAGGAAATAGTCCTGGTCTTGGGGAACTGGAATCTAGCTAACTCCCTCAATGATATATGTTTTAACTGGTTTATTATACCACTAAAAATAGAGTATTACCAATCCGGACCAATGCAGGGGGATAAGTCCATTAACATATTAGACCAATACAAAAATAAAATATTATTAATAGAGGAATACAGATAACTGGGGAATAACCGTAGCTTCCGAAGCAGGGATTAGTTCATTTGACTAAAGGCACAGGGATATAGTCCATTCACAGAGATTTCTAGGGAATTATTCACATTTTACTGCTTAACTTATATATGGGAAAAAATCAGTAGACTGAGGTATAATAAATCAGTATAACTTGGACTGATATTTGATTCATCCTTATAAATTAAAGGTTTATTTAAATTTCTTACATTTTACTCTGAATTCTCTGTATTAAAGTTTTAATATTTTTCATTAATACACAACAAAATTGCCACTTTTCTTAAGTATTAATTCATTCCTTATAATCTAATTTTCAATCATTAAATATAGAAAACAATAAAATTTCTCCCTTAGAAATATCTTCAAATTGTTCATATTTTAAACGTAACGTCAAGCAGATTGATAAATTTTGATGCTTGCAAGTATTTGTGATGAAGGCACCCCAGGTTATACCATGATCAAATGACGCAAAATTAAATCATCAAAAAATATCCATAGGACAGAATGCCCCAGCCAGGGATTATAAGTAATTCAATGTGAGAATTTGTATTGATAAAGTATATGAAATTTGAGAAAATTTCTTGAATAGTTTCTTATGCAATAGCTGTCCACACGTCGAGTTTAATTTGCAGTAAATTAGTGCAACGTAAACTAATGCGAATCAAACTAATGCAATTAAATTGCGTTCACATGACAACTTAAGCAAACTAATGCGAATTAAAATAATGTACTTCTACAATCAGGCGTCAGTAAGGCTATTATGACTTCATTTTCAACTCATGTCAAGATATGCAGAAGCATATGCATTTTACATGATGTTACTGTGTCTGTACACACATTTTAGTAATTTAACACAATTTTCATAACTCAAAAATAGCACAACTACTTAAAGCTGACCACTGACATGTGGTAATTGACCTAATTTTGCCATTACGCATGCCTCAAAATTTAATTCAAATTAGCTTCGCTAAGCATTTACACAGAGCTAATGCAAAGTAATTTAATGCGCAGTAAATTGATTTGAATTAAGCTAATTGGCATAAAACTCCGTGTGAATACAGTTAAAATTTAATTCACAGTTACTTATATTTAATTTGAATTAAACTCTCCATGTGAACAGGGCATCAAAAACTGAGTTTCAATAAATAGTCAACTCAATGGGAAGATCAATGTATTACATGACACAGTTGATAAATTCTCACCCAAAAATGTTTTTGTGTATCACTTTCAGATTACATGAATATCTAGGATTGTTATTGTGAAACGAATCAAACAAACACAACTTTGAGAAAAGTGATGTCAAGGTTAAAGAAAGCTTGGAAAGGTCAAGGTTATTTTTTTTTTAAGTTGTAGAGCTTTCCTCAATATGTATCAACATAAGAATGTTTATAAAAATATCAAATAGTTTCTTTAAAAATGCAGTGTGAAGGCCAGAAGGACTAAAGACGGACATGAAAAACACCATATGCCCTGCCTAATCTATATGGCCATGGTAGAGCATAAAAATAATAACATTTACACAAAGCCTAACTACTGAATACCTTACAGTCCCTGAAACGTTCTACTTTCCCACCTGAACGGTGAACGAACGCTGAACGAACGGTGAACGAACGGTGAACGAACGCAGAGCGAACGGTGAGTGAACGATGTGCGAACGGTGAACGCAACTTGGTGAACGATGTGTGAACGGTGAACGCAGAACGCGAACGGAGCGCGAACGCGAGCGCAAAGTGAACGGTGAACGCAAGATGAACGATTTATTCGGAATGCCTCCGATCTTTTCCTTACATTGAAATTATTCTTTTATTCTATTATTCAAATATCATAAATAAATATAAATAAACAATAGATAAACAAAAGAGAAATAAATAGATAAATAACTAAATAAATAACTAAATAAATAAATAATAAAAATAAAATTCTGCACATACGAATGTTTAAATCGATATTTTAATAACATGATTTTAATCGCCGTCAAACGTGTATTTGTTACCGCGTGTAGTTTAAAAATAAATTAATTTTATTTAGTAAATAATCATGCTATTTCTTTTAACTAATAAAATAATGTGGACTTTAGAAGATGAAACTACTACTGAGATAAACAAAAGATAAATAAATAAATAAATAAATTAATTAATTAATCAATAAATAAATAAATAAAAACATTTTTTCTGCACATACAGTGTACCTATGTTGAAATCGATATTTTAATAACATGATTTTAATCGCCGTCAAACGTGTATTTGTTACCGCGTGTAGTTAAAAAATAAATTAATCTACTAATATAGTAAATAATTATGCTTATTCTTTTCACTAATAAAATAATTTGGACTTCTGAAGATAAAACTACTACTTATAGAATGAATTTATTACAATGTACGGGGCTGAAACAACCGTACATGTATTTCCGTGCCACAGCGATTCTGAGTAAAATAACGGATTTTTTTTTTTTATCGTACTGCATAAAAATTCTCGTTTTATTTAAATTCTATTGCAAAATATTCTATATTTATGTGCCTTTTTATTCTTTTATGACGATTATTTTAGCTAACTTCTTCATGTATCTGTAGACATTTTCCGGCCGTGATTATACTCGGTCAAGATGTTGGAAAGAGGCATTCAAATTATTTGTAATACATGCGTAGATTAAATTTTCAAAACTAAATAAGTAATGTGTTGTCATAATTTTTATTGAACAGAGAAATGTACGAGAGAGAGAGAGAGAGAGAGAGAGAGAGAGAGAGAGAGAGATAATACCCTCGATTCTCAGATATATATTGTATCAAATAAAAATTCTTATTATTTTTCCTAAATATTCCAAGCAATAAAAGTAATCTTTTTCTTTTAGATTAACAAATCCATTTGACAGTAATCATTGGCTTTTATTTTCCATCTTCAAGTTCACACAGTTCACAGGAAGTCCGTGCTACATTTGTAGTAGCGTGTCTGTGCTGTCAATCAAAATAATTCGACACAGTGGAGATGTGGAAATTTCGTTTCACCGAACATGCCGAAGGCAAAGAGTCACTTAGTATTCCAATAAATTTTAATATTTTTCCTTATCATTTCTAGATCTGATTTTTGCATTCCTGCAGAAAAAAAAAATAAATTCGAATGTATACTTGGAAGGATTAAGTTTTAAATTGAATGTGAAACATATTCCCTGCCAATTTAGAATACTTCTGTCGGCACAATTTTTATACTAAAATACTATTGTTTAATGACTGTTTGACGTTGGTTTTAAGAGTGATTTTCTTGTGTTACAATAAAAATTGAATAAAAATTAAAATATACTGTAAAAACTCAGTAAGAATTTTATTTCGGAAAAAAGGCACGGGGGGGGGGGGGGGGGGGGGGATGTTTTTAAAAAAGAATGGCAAAAAACATATTTTTAAAAATATGTTTAGGTACGGTGAAGGAAGGAATTTACCTTCTCTAATAATAGACTATTTAAAACAGTTGGTCTTTTCTAAAATTTAAAACCACACCATCAATTTAATTATCTCTAAAGATATTCAATTAACTGAATATTTGCAGTACTGTTCATATTTCTCAAACCTACCTGTAGTTTAAATACGTGTTACTGTAGAAATATATTTTTTTATGCACTCTTGATCTGTAAAAGACTTGGATTAATTATAATACATCCATTAATAATTTGTCCTCTTTAAAATTGCATCAAATTGATGCCGTGCGTGAAACATTTGTACATTGCCCTTTTTTGAAGTTAATATTTTAGCATCGTTCTACATACATGTAGGTACTTAATGTATTCATTATTATTTTTCCAGGGAAAATTCATGAAATAAGTAAAACCTGAGTTATAATAATAGAAATATAAATATCTAAGATAATTTTTGCAATGAAATAATTATTCTTCAAACACGATATCTAAGTTATTTAATTAAAAAACATGTAAATCCTTACCATCAAAAAGATAAGTCCTTTCACTTCGGAGTTCCGAATGACAATGAAGACTGAACGATAAGTGAACGGTGAACGCAAGGTGAACGCAAAGTAAACGGAACGAAGAGCGAACGGTGAACGGTGAACGCGAGCGCACGGTGAACGGTGAACGCAATACTGTGAACGAAGAGCGAACGGTGAACGCACGCTGAACGAACGGTGAACGAACGCAGAACGAACGGTGAACGAACGGTGAGCGAACGGAAAAATGGGAAAGTAGAACGTTTCAGGGACTGTATCATTCTAAAAAAAGTACCTTTTATTCTCCACCACGAATTCTTGGTTTGGTCTCCATAATCTACTTAATAAGTAATTCTTCCTTCGGGAGGATGTCTTTCAAAGGAAATGGACAAAGCCTTGGCTTATTCTGCATTATTTTAAGCGTCATTTGTTTGCCATTAATTTCCATTCTGTCTCAATTATTCAAGGACTAGTATTGACATATGTCACCTTTGTCCTACTGGCATCTCTACAAAGAAGGCAAAAACAAATTAAAATGTAAAAATATCAAATGGCTAAAGTACATGCAGACACAATTATCCAAAAAAAAAAATTAGAATGGATGGGAAAAAATCAAGTCAACCTTAGTAAAAAGATGATCTTAATCTCCATTTATGATGCTATATATGCATGATTGCTCTACACGTACATGACTGTATTATTATAATAGATTTTAGCTAAAACATACAGTATATCTAAATAATTCTCTACTGGTTGCTTTGGATTTTTATGATATGCAATTTTGTTTAATGTATTTCTTTTTGCCTCAGACTAATAAAACATCCAAATACTTCTCAGTAAAATGAACTTTTTAAGGAATCACTGTCTAGTTAGTATATAGTATACCAGGACATGGCACGTTATGCAAATTATCCCACATTTCCCACTATCGTTGATGTCCCTGGAATACTATACTAAAAAGACAGTGATTCGTTATGTTTCCATCTTATTATGAAATAAAATTAAAGATTATGATTTTTAAAATGTAGACTAATAGATTAAAATTAATCAAGGCCTCCCATGTCAATTTCAATAGTTCTTGCCCACTGACTTCAAACACAAAAATACTGTATAGGGGGAAAATAACTTGCGGTGTTAATATTGGCTATATTCACGGTGTTAACAAATCCGTGAATTCAAGAAACAGTGAATAAATCTACAATAATCTCCATGTTTTATTTGGAAAATTGAAAATAGACTACGATAGATTTATATAGGTGTTCGTGCAGTCCATGGTCATTTCAGTAATTGCGAGTAGTGCTGTCATTCAATTAATTTTAATTATCACGCTAATGACACGCTTTACTTTAATTCAAATCGGCAGATGATAATTTGTGTTTGTTCAAAAGCTGTTTTAATAGCCAACGCTACGTTTCATCATTTAAAACACGTTGTCCTTTGGTTTTGATTACCCGTGCGTAACTAATGTTACCACGTGTATTTGTTACCTGCATTCTCATGCATATTAGTTCATGTAGTTTTAATCTACATTTTGGTTTTTAAAATTCATTCAGATAAATATCGAACTTACTGACGAAGGAAGTGTGGAAGGATATTATTTCGTAGAACTACATAAAAAGTTTTATTTCCGTCCAGTAGTTTTTCGTTGCGTTGTATTGAAGATCTCGGGTGCACATGCACTCATCATAAAAGCAAAGTATAGGAAAGTCATTTAACGTTTGGAGTCTGGACTATTAATAACTGAACTTGTGTTAATTAATTATTTATAAAATCTAACAATTTTATAATAACTTTTGTTCGTGAAAGTAAGACATAACGCTGATTAATGTCGTTTACATGTAGCTATGGTATGGATTAAATGGAGACAAGGGAAGTAACTTTTATTACATACCAAA